TTCCAATGTCCAAACATTATATTTTTAAAACGTGCTCATACAGAGTAGAACATTATAATATTTATTAACAATTATAAAAAATCAGCTTATAAACCGCTAGATAAATTCAATTATGTTTCAGGTATTCTAGGGGCTTCTTCAGGCGGCGGTGGTTAAAAGTTAAAAGGTCAACATGTTATTTTTTTTTATTATGTTTTCCACATGTGTTTTGAGCACTTTTTAATACTACTGTTTCCTGGTCTATTTCATGACTTTAACTTTTTTTTATATATATATATATATATATATATATATATATATATATATAAGTATATGATTTTTAAATAAATTCTACTATTCTTAAAAGAGTTCAATACAGGTCTTATTTATTTAAATAAATATGTTATAAAATCACTACAAAATAGCCATTTTGTTTCAACTTTTAAAAAACGATGTACATTCATATATATATATATTTTATAACATATATATATAATTTTTAAATAAATAATATTATATATATATATATATATTAGATGAAATGGATTAAATCCGACAAATATTTTAATATATTTTCTGTTTATACGTTGTTTTTGTGAATACATCTTATTTGAGAAAATGATCTCCTTTAATAAAATTAATTAACTTCCAGGCCGGTAAATATAATTAATAGTGTTTAATTAAAACAAAGCATTTACTCATATAAGTTGTATCCATAAAAATAACATATAAACAGAAAACATATTAACAAACACACACATATATATATTAATAATTGCACATATACCTACGTTTACAGTATGACTCAGAGTTTAATGGCTTTGTCAATCATCAATTATGAAATGTTACACACTATTCAATACTGTTCTTCTTATTGAACAGTTCAGAACTTTTTGTACCTGATGATTGACAAAGCCATGAAACTCTGAGTTGTGCTGGAAATGTAGGTATATGTGTAATTATTAATGCATACTTTATAGCTCTGTTTAACTACATTGAGCACTATTTTGTCTACACCATTGATTAAATAAATAGTTATTTGCTCACCTGCATGTGTACATAATTGCCTATATGGTTGATCGTATCTCTTTATTTAGATCATTTCTACGTATATATATATATATATATATATATATATATATATATATATGTGTGTGTGTGTGTGTGTGTGTGTGTGTTATTGTTATTATTTTAATTGTTATGTTGTCTGTTTCTTTTTCCAGCACCTCCAAGAAATGGCTAAGAACAATGGCTGTGTAGGTTGGGTGCAGAACACTAAACGTGGAACAGTGATTGGACTATTGCAGGGATCTCCAGAAAGTGTCAAAATTGTGTAAGTCGAGATTTGCCTAAGAAAAGAGGCAAAGGTTTCTCCTTCTGCCCAAATGTGGAAAATGCATTTACATTTCTTTTCAATCTTTTTTCAGTTTAAATGAATATCCCATTGATCTATTCGTTGTGTATGTTGGAAAAGAGGCTGGCGAGTGAAGAATAAGTTCCCCCAAACAAGACAGGAATAAAGATATAACCTCATTTCTTGGGCTGTTCCTTTCACTCACGAATTATCCGTTCTTTATCCTCGTTTTCATTGACTGAAAATAGACCCTTTTTATTTTTATTTCTGCTATAAATATTGTCATCTGTGTAGTGTATGTTGTAAAGGTGGTTGTATGAGTGTAAGAGGAAGTAAGAAGTGCAATTTATAAGGATATGTATGATAGATAATAGTTAACCTTGAAGAGGTTAACATTTTAGTGCTCAGGTGAGCATTTATGTGGGAGCCAGTTCCATAAAGTAGAACAAGCTGTCTGAATGAAACCTTCTCTTCCCTCTTGGAATATGGAGGAAATGAGGTTGATTCGACTCTATGGAAGAAGCCTGACATATCCTAGCTATAAATATGTGAACTGGTGACACTGACGAATGAAGCGCTCATTTGAACATTTGCCATGGAAATAACAGTAGAGTAACTATAGGCTTGTAACTGACTAGGATCACATGGGAACCATATATACTGCCGCTCTCACAGCAATAGTATGTCTTGATTTTGAACTCAGGGTTTTCCTTCTTCTAGACTGGTTGCCACTCAAGGTAAGAAAATCCAGTCAACTCTACTATTTAACCCATAACTGGAGGTGAGAAGAGATGGTTTCATACTTTTACTAAGAGTATTTGTACGAAAGTGAATGTGACAAACTCTGCTGGAATTTGAACTCTGATTGCTGAGTTCTCGTGCTGATTTCTCATTCCAGTTTCTGTATACTCTCATTCCAGTTTCTTTATTCCTTAATCGTGTCCACTATCTGTAATCATTTTTTTCACGGTCCCAAATCTTAATACTCAGTGGTAAACGGACCTAAATGATGTAATCACTTTTGGTTTTTTACAGTATAGTTCACTCTGTACAAGGTCCCAAGAGTTACTCGAGGTAGAGGGTTAGGTTGTGTGGATCTATCATGCACAAACATACATACATACATACAAATACAAATCACATACAACGCCAAGCATTCATTGGTTAATTAATCACCACTACGTTATTATAGATAATTTACAAATCGCAGTAATGCGACAATTTTGTAATCGCTCTATTTTCATGTAGTCAGTTTTGTGCACTTTTGGGAGAAACGGATCAGAGAAGCTTTCTTAAGTATCCCCAAAGCTCAATGCCAACCAATCAGATCAACTGCACGTGAAGAGTAGTTTTTTTCTGTGCAGCGAACTGGAGCCTATAGTCACTTATATAAGCAGGAATTTTTCTTAGCTAATTAGTGAGAATTCAGCTGCCAAACAAATCCATGACAGTTGAAACAATGCACCAACCTTCTCACTCACTCACACATACTACTCACATGCTGAACATTCCTTATAAACTCACATAATCTTTTCTTACACAGCAAAATCTTCTGAGAACAGTCATTATAAGAGACTCTCATTAACATTCTTCCAGTGAACTTTGGAATATTAAAATAACAGTTAAAGAGACACAACTCTTGTTTATTTCAACCTTTTCTTACTTAAATGCATGCTTTCTTTCACATCATTGTTTGATATTGTACATCTTGTTAAATACATATTTTATGTGTAACAATGTCTTTGGCTTATCCTTTTCTGCGTCAGCCATGTTTCCTAATCTAAAGTTAAATTAATGTGGTGAAGTCTGCCACAAGGTTAAGGGACAGTTTATACTGATAGGAGGGGAAGATAACAGTTAACTCTAGACTTGAACAGGTTAAGATTGTAGTGATTGGGGAAACACCTTCTTGGGAATTTGTTCCACAGAGCAGTGGTTCATGATAAGCTTCTCGAGTGGAACTTACATCTCACTGATGGTATACGAAGGGAATATGGATGGTTTGCTACCATGGAAGTGGCATGGTGGGTCCTGGTTGTGAAGGTTAGACATAGCAGAATCAAGGAATGTAGTTCGTCCGGGCACTTTCTATGGAAGTAATGACAGATCAGTAGGAGACTCTCCAAGTCTGATCTGTGAGAGAGGGATTGGATGGTGGAAAATAATTCTTCTTCAACAAGGACTCAGAGAAGCTTTTGAACTCTATCAAAACTGGAAAGTGAGGATTGGGTAGCTCCTGCCCATGGCAACAGTACTCCATTTTCGGCCTGATCTGTCTTTTATAAAGATAGGTGATAGCATGAAGAGTCAGGTACTTACCCGGGTGGTACAGGGAGCCAACCATTTGGCCTGCATCTGCTTAAACAAAACAAACAAAAACCCTGCAGAAGATGTTAAAAGGAAGAGAGTTTTACAAGTACGAGTAAAGAAACTGTTAAGTTAGATAGATAGAAGTTAGAGTTACATTTAGCAATTCCAAATGTAAAATAATGACACTGCCAGTCTAGTACTGTGCTTAAATTCACAAAGAAAAGGCCAAAGTATTTTATTTTAGTTAACATGTTAAACATGTTAAAAATGCTATCTTCATTTTTATTTTATTTTATTTTATTTTATCTTTATTTTATTTTTATTTTATTTTATTTCATATTTATTTTATTTTATCTTTATTTTATTTTTGTTTTATATTATCTTTATTTTATCTTTATTTTATTTTTTGCTTATTTTATTTTATCACATGTAGCTTAGTACTGAGAAGGCCAGAGAGCACTTTATCTGATCTATGTTTTTTTTTTTTTAATCAATTCACCCTGAACAAGGCAATAATGCCTCTAAGACAGAAGAGCCTACAGGGAGTGAAAGAGAATGAAGAATTTAGAAGTAACTGGAAAACCAATCATAAAAAGAACACAAGGGATAAACCTCGACTCCTGTTCAAAAGACCAAGAAGGAGTTTGTAAACAAAACAATAATGATGAAGATGTTAGTTCAACTAATCAATTAGTAAAATTTCATTTTGGAAATTCAGACATCACATAAATTCTTCTTCTTTTATATTCTGTGTCCTTTCAGTACATAGGCGATCATGGCCCTCCACATCCTCCAGTCTCTTGTAGTTTTGTCTTTTTATTATTTCTCCAAAACCCTGTTTTACCATCCATTTACTCAAGCTCATCAAGTATGTTACACATGGCTTTTCTCTGTCACTCTTTCCTTCAAATTGTCCTGTGAGGATCAGATTTTCTAAGCCCTCCTTCCTCATTACATGCTACAGAAATTTCAACTCATTTTCCTGATGTTAATTATGTTTCCTTTTTGTTAAAATTTGACTTTAATTACCACAAACTAATTTCCAATTTGTATTTATGTGATTTTTTAAATCATTCAGAAAACAACTTCGATCTGAAAATATTTTGGGGTGAGTTT